CGTTGTCGCTTGCAAAATCAAAATGACGGCGCTGTGGGTGTAAATGTACAGATTAAGGGGCGGTAATATTATAATGAGATCCCTTTGCCACGTCACCAAGGGAGCGAAATCTGATGCGCTCGTTTTCTCAGACGCTTGCAGAAAAAGGCTTACCTAAACAAAGTTACTGGGTTAATCTTTTTCACGTTTCCTTGGTTGGTAGATGCAACGTGGACCTGATTATAGCACTTAAAACCTGGAAAAGTCAGATTTTCATGATATGTCACCTTTAACACATCCTTGCTGAATAAAAGTTGTAATTTCTTTCAAAAAAAGAAAGAATAAAAATGTATGTACTGTATATGTTTATAGCGTATATAAAAAATGTATAGTGTGTATATTGTTAGAAAAGATTTCTATTTTAAATAAATGCCCTTCTTTTTAACTTTTTATTTTCATCAAAGAATCCTGAAAAAAGTATCACAGGTTCCAAAAACAAATATGAAGCAGCAACAGTTTCCAGCACTGATAATAAATCAGCATATTAGAATGATTTCTGAAGATCATGTGACACTGAAGACTGGAGTAATTCAGCGCTGCATCACAGGAATAAATTAGATTTTAATGTATATTAAAATAGAAAAACGTTATTTTACATGGTAATAATATATTTCACATTTTTCCTGTATTTTTGATCAAATAAATGCAGCCTTGATGAGCAGAAGAGACTCCTGTAAAACATTACAAATGGTTCTGATCCCAAACGTTTGAGCGATAGAGTACTTCCACTTGACCTGTTTGTCCCGCACAGATATCAACGAGTGCAGCGTGGAGCCCAGCATCTGTCAGTTCGGCTCGTGTAAAAACACTGCGGGCAGCTTCCAGTGCATCTGTCAGCCTGGCTTCGTTCTGTCCGACAACGGCCGCCGCTGCTTCGGTAACTGCTCTTATTTGATTCTTCATTTTAAGTGAACCACCTTATGAAGCAGATCTGTGCAGACTTTTATTGCATGAATCCGTGTAATGAATCATTCTAGTGTAGTTGTGCACATTTATTAAAGAAAAAAAATCATTTGTTTAAATATTGATATTATAAAAAAAGTTAAGAAAAATGTTTTATAATTAATAAATATGCAAACATTTTGTCATTTAAATTCAACAAACCATTTAATAATTTAATAAAATCTGTTTCATATAATTAATAAATCACTCTAAATTTTGTTTTTATGTTTGCCATTTATAACTTATGTTATTTTAATAAAGTTGTGTTTAATTAGTTGTACTTAGTGTACATTTATGAATAAAATATAAATGTTCATAATTATCCATTTGTTTAAATGTTTACATTTTGCAGTTGAATTAGACGGAATTTTTATAGATATATTTAGCATGATTTTTTTATTGAACTAAATTAATAAACTTAATGATTAAAACTTAATAAACTTTCCTTTAATTAATAAATCATTTAAAATGAATGTAACTTTTAGTCATTTTAATTTTGTATCAGTTAAGTTAATTATGTAATAACAATGGTCTCATGTAATTAATAAACTCTTCTAAATTGCATAACATTTTTAGTCATTTAAATTTTCATAGTTTAATTAAACAAAAATTTAATTATTTAATAATAATAATTGTTTTTTTATAATTAGTAACTTGTTTTTATTATTGTTAATAATTAATAATATTTTTTAAAAACTAGTAATTTTAATTTGTTATTTAATTTGTTGAAACATTTAATAATTTAATAAAGTGTTTTATGTAATTAAATTGAATTATTTATTATTTTGATCATTTAATTTAATGAAAAACTGAATAATAGCGTTTTATATCATTAAGATTTTAATATGTCAAACTAAAGTATATGTATGCATATTTTAAATATATTTTATTCATATCTTTCATATATTTTGTATGTTTTATATAATATGTCAATACATAAAGTAAATGATTTATTAGTTGTACTTCATGTAAATGTATAAATGAAATAATTATTCATAAATATTAATTAGTCTAAATACTGATATTTTGCAATTGCATTAGATCATATAGGCTGTTTCATTAGTTGTATTTAGCATGAATTTATGTTACATAAAACATTTATAAATTACATATTTGACATCAATTAATAATACATTTTATATAAGTGATTTTATACTTTTTTATACAATGTTGTCTTTTATAATCAAGCAATAAGCCCCAAGAAGCCGTGGTTTACAGAGAATTTATAACAGCTAAGGGGCGTTGTTATGCACAAATAAAGTGTAATGATATTAATAAAAACAGTATTCTTCCACCAAACAGTGTAGATGCTCAGAATCAGTTGTGGTTGCAACAAAGTGGTTGCCGAGCAACACACAGAAGTAAACAAAGGTGTATGTTACTTTGTAGAGTCATTTACAACAGATTTGAACGCGGCTCAGCCAATCAGAATCAAGGACCGGAACTCTCCGTTTTATAACTATTATTGTATGTATGTAAAGTAGTAGAAATACAATATAAGCATTCATCATGTTTCATATGTAATATTGGGGCATTCAGTGAAGTGCAGTATACTTGAGTGTATTTTCCTCACATGAATGTGTGTTTTTGTGGTCAGACACGCGCGAGAGCTTCTGCTTCACGCGGTTTGAAGCGGGCAAATGCTCCGTCCCCAAACCGCTCAACACCACCAAAGCCAAGTGCTGCTGCAGCCTGCTGCCGGGCGAGGGATGGGGCGACCCCTGCGAACTGTGTCCGCGAGAGACCGAGGGTCAGTCACTAATGAATATACAGCACCACAGATGATTAGCAGTCATTTTCTCATTATAATACATTTAAATGGAAACAAATATAATACAAAATATAAGCTAGTATTATAGAAAGTATATATAATTCTATCTGTAATTAATTATTTCATGCTATTTAAGAATCTGAACACGTGTGACCCTGCAGCACAAAAGCAGTGTTTAGTCGCTGGGGGATATTTGTAGCAATAGCCAACAATACATTGTATGGGTCACAATTATTGATTTTTCTTTTATGCCAAAAATCATTAGGATAATAAGTAACGTGCGTGTTCCATGAAGATATTTTGTAAATTTCCTACCGTAAATATATCAAAACTTAATTTTTGATTAGTAATATGCATTGCTAAGAACTTCATTTGGACAACTTTAAAGATGATTTTCTCAATATTTAGATTTTTATTTATTTTTTTGAAAATGAAAAATTATGACTAGTTTTATGGTCCAGGGTCACATATTTGCAATTCTAAGATGTATGCAGATGTTTTTTAATGTAATTTTTTTAAAGTTATATAGATAAACATTATACATTTTGTAAGAAAAAGTTAGTATTTTTTATTAAATTTAATAAAGATACATAGTTACATAAATAGGTTTGTTGTCATATTAAATTCTAATTTAATTTAACAAAACAATTAAATAGTTTAATAAAAATTGTTTAATATAATTAATAAATCACTAATTTTTACAAAAGATTTTTTGTAATTTTAATAATTTAGTTTAACAAAAAAGCTTTAATACTTTAATACAGTTGTTTCGTATATTAATAAATAGTTCTACATTTGATCAAAATTTGTAATATTATTTGATCATTTAATTTAACAAAAAACAATAGTTTCATGAAAATGTAACTAAATTAAATAATTTTATGTTTTATATAATTAATAAATCATTATAATTTTTACAAATTCTTTTTTTGTAATTTTAATAATTTAATTTAACAAAAAATCTTTAATACTTTAATACAGTTGTTTCGTATATTAATAAATAGTTCTACATTTTATAACAAAAATTTAATATTATTTGATCATTTCATTGAACAAAAAACAAGTTTCATGAAAATGTAACTAAATTAAATAATTGTATAATGTTTTATATAATTATTAAATCGTTCTAATTTTAATACATTTTAGTCATTTTAATTTTAATCATTTAATGAAAAAACCTTAATACTTTAATGCAGTTGTTTCGTATAATTAATAAATAGTTATCATATGCAACAATAAATATTAATTTCATAAAAAAGTCTACTTACTAAAAGACTTAAAATTTAATATACATTTTAGTAATTTTAATGTTGATCATTTCACGGAGCAAAAAAAGTTAATTTAGTAATTGTTTTTTTTATAAAATAAATCGTTATAAGTTTTATAAAAAATAAATAGTTATTTGGTCATTTTGACCATTTAATTTAAAGTTAAATAATACACATTTTTTAATATAATTATTAAATCGTTCAAAATTTTAGAACAAAATGTAGTAACATTAATTTTGATTATTTAATTTAACAGAACGTTGAATAATTTAATAAAAATGTTTTATTTAATTAATAAATCCTTTCTATCTTTTATTACTTATTTTATTTTACATAATATATTTTTATAAATATTTAATAATTTAATAAAATTGTTTTATATAATTTAGATTGTCTTAAGTGTCAATTTTTCAAAATTGAGATTTATAGATCATGAATAAATAAGCTTTCCATTGATGTATGGTTTGTTATGATAGGACAATATTTGGTCGAGATACAACTATTTGAAAATCTGGAATCTGAGGGTGCAAAAAAATCTAAATATTGAGAAAATCATCTTTAAAGTTGTCCAAATGAAGTTCTTAGCAATGCATATTACTAATCCAAAATTAAGTTTTGATATATTTACAGTAGAATCTATAATTTTGACCCCTACAATGTATTGTTGGCTATTGCTACAAATATACCCCAGCGACTTAAGACTGCTTTTGTGCTCCAGGGTCACATATTTTAGAATGTCAAACTAACTTTACTTTAATAATCACACCCTTCTTGTCTCCGTGTTTTCTCCCGCAGCTGCGTTTCTCACGTTGTGTCCCTACGGTCACGAAGCCGTCCCGAGACCCGAAGGACGAGAGGGTGAGAAAACCAGTTAAATTCTGTCGACTAAAGCACTTCACCTTCCCACAATCCCCGGTACTAACGTCCCGTCGGCCTCCACAGACATGAACGAGTGCGTGGAGAACCCGGGCATCTGCGGAAACGGCTTGTGCATCAACACGGACGGCTCGTTCCGCTGCGAGTGTCCCTTCGGATACAACCTCGACTTCACCGGCGTCAACTGCGTGGGTGAGTTCACACTAAACCTACTCCAGATCAGATTTCTCAGTTCCCAGTTAACCTCACTTCACCCTATTTTGGCTCTTCTCGATGACTGCGGGACGGTTGTGGGTTCAGATCCCTCGGGTTACAGCATCAGAAAAAGTATCAAGCCAATGATAAACGAGTTAGAGAGGTGGGTCATTAACGGTCTGATGGTTACAGATACGGACGAGTGCTCGATCGGAAACCCCTGTGGAAACGGGACGTGCTCAAACGTTCCTGGTGGGTTTGAATGTTCCTGTCAGGACGGCTTCGAACCCGGACCCATGATGACCTGTGAAGGTACGCTCAGGAGATAAGCTGCACTGTATTCCACAATATGACATTTTTACAGGCATACATATATCATACTTTAATCATTTAATAAAAGGTGTTCTATTTAATTAATAAACTGTTCACAATTTTACAATAAAATTCAGCTATTGTAATTTAATAAAACTATTGAATAATTTTACGATGTTTTATATAATATAAAATAATTTTATATAATGTTTTATACATTTTATAAGAAATATATTTATAAGAATAATATAAGAAATATATATGTGGATTTTATATTAATTTATAATAATTTATTAA